TTTTCTTTATGACCCGCCCCCCCCCCCCTATCTGAAGGTCTGGATCTGCCAATGGGATTATTAATTTTACAGTGAGATAAGGAACAATAAATTAACGGTGGCATGGAACCACACCTGTTTTACCATGGTACTGTTTTATAAGAACCACACCCAACAACAGTACAGCACTCTTAAGTCCAGTTCAGCAACTTACGTTTGACATCATGCACTAGGCCATGGTGTTTTTTATTAGTATTTATGGTCTTTCTAAGTTGGAGCTGAGGTAAACATGAATTTTGTATGATATATCTTATACACCATGGTTGCCAGGGAATTAAGCCAGCCACTCTTGACTTTGAAGCTAAAAGAGTTTAAGGTGTCTACTAATATGTGTTGGACAGATCCCAAGGTGATGTTCTCTATATCATCAACGTCTGCAACAATTCTGTTATATACGGTGTTTGTTTTAAGAAGTATTTTTAGGGATTGTTAGCACGTGATAAGTGTTACATACAGTGTACCATCTTGTTCCAACCTTTAACCCATTCGCACCTGAGCTGCCCGTAACCACATCATCAGTTTTAATAGTCAAGAGCAACTTTGTCTGCTAACTTAGGCAGAGTGAAAAGATCTTTCAAACCATACCAGAACGAGCACAATTCAGTTGAAGTCACCAGAGAAAGAGCCAAAAAACCATGTAACATTGACCTGAAAATTTCCATGAAAATCTTGTTCCACTACCCACCTACCCTTCCTTTCATCTAATCCTAAGATCCTAAAAGTTTTCCTAAAAACTTTTTCCACCAAAATAAAGCCTACTAAATGCCCAGCAAGACAAAGAAAATGAGGCAAGAAAAGCGAAAAAAGAGGGGAGGAGAGAAAGCGAAAAGTAAACATCAAGACTGCTGTGTCACTTTTAAACCCAAAAACTATCTGCCCAAGCCCGAACTGTGCGAGCTAAAATTTTGCATCTGGATCTCAACCTGCTAAGTGTACGACCTGCAAACGGCTTTGTGGTAAGTTTTAGTTCTTTATAACACGACAGTGACTAGAGAACCGCTCGACTAGCCTCAAAATGCATTATTCGGCAAAATCTCCAGGAGCGAATGGGTTAAGCAAAGTACCAAGCTTTTTGAGAAAAATCCACTTTTTAGCA